TGGAAGAATATCAGCAGCAGTGCATGTTTATCTCATAAATGTTGCACTTGTTAATGGCAGTCTGCTTTTGTAGTCGTCTGCTGCAAACATAGCAATGCTATGGAATTGTTGTTACTATCTTATCTCAATTTCATTTGAGTTAGAACCACGAGGTTGATGGTTAATGATGAACTCGAATTGTTATGAGTACCGGAGAGAAAGGATTGTGCCTTGGGGAGATAGCAGGTTTAGTATTACTCAGCATTTACTGTGGGTTGGTATATCAAGTTATCAGTTCTGTTGGAGGCTGCTACCACAGCTCAAAATAGATCAACATGGTATTGTGACTCTTGTTAGTTCTTTGGAATGAATTCATGGTTACAAGTTGAGGGACAGACAGAGTGGTGAAGCTGGCATAATCGAGTTGAGAGCTGAAATACCCTCGCTGATCTGATTTAACCCATTTTCGAATTTGAAAATGCAGCATCCACGACAACTTGGGGTAATTCTTCCTTAACCTTTCGCTTAACAGGTGGCTGTGCCATAATACTCATAAGGCCAGTCATCCTGGCTGCAGCAATGGAAGCCCGAGTTTCTCGCGTACATCGATATGGTCCTTGAAATCTTGAGTGACGACAGTGGAAGCTACATTGGCAAGTGATGACTGCCTATCAAAATTCCATAGGCAAGTATTCTGTTTCGATGGGCCCTAAAATTGTACTATCTTTCTACCAGAGATTATTCTCGGATGTGCTTCTCTATCTTCTTTCTGTCTCTGTGTTTATGTTCAGGAATATTTAGATAACTCCCATTCCCACTCTTCTTCTGTATTGCTTATGAAATAGACTTTATTTTCATCAAGACTAATTCTTGCCGAGACCAGGCTAATGTTTAGGGTACTGATTGTGATGGTTATAGTCTAGGTTTAGTCTTAGTTACACTATCCTATAGATTCTAGGGTTTTTTTAACCTCTAAGAGTTGTTTGGATTGAGGAGAAGTTATGCTGCTGACTTTTTCTTGTTGGTCATTTATCAGTTTAATCCATGCATTACTTAAGGCCCACTTTTCCTCATTTCATCCCATATAAATAATACATAGTTTCCTGCATTTGTATGTTTATTTATGTGGGAACAGAAAAAATCTACCAAACATTAGATAAAATTTCCTTCATACCCAACTAAACTTGGTATAAACGTGGAGATTATATACCTTACAACCCAAACCAAATGGCCCCCATATTTTTCTTATTATTATGCTCTGTATCCATCCCTTTTCATTTTACTACTTGCAATAGAAAAATTATGGGGTTGTCAGGTCCTTCAGGGAGACGCATCCTTGTTTTGTCAGACCACTGCAATTCATAATTAATTGAAAGGAAGAATATATTTTGGCTTCCATTGACTGGGAATGTGTGGGGGGAGGAGTTCACTTTGAGATTCTCAACTGTCTTTTGTTAGCAGTGCTTGCTTCCTTTGTTGTGTTGTCTCTTCCACTGTTGCTTCCCCTTGTTGTTAGGGAACTGTTTGTTGGAAGTTCCTCTAAGGATGCAAATGGGAAACCAACGTTAACCAATTGAGGAACTGATAAAAAGACATGAGCCATTATTTAGATAAACCAACATTGATTTATTGAGATGATGATTAAAATGTAAAAACACAGATGAGCTATAATTTTTTCATGAATTTAATACCTCAACTATTAGCTCTTTTCCCTACTTGAACTATCATAATCTATCCTTGTCCTGCCTAATTATCACCATCTATGTATAAGATATGCCTAGTTGAGTAGATTGTGACAGTTCAGGTAAGGATTGGGAACAACGGACAGTGACACAGAAAGTTGCTGATTTGAAAAAAAAAAACAGGGAACAACTGATAATTGGCCCAATCAGTTTTGAGATGTGTTTTAATACATAGATAATGATAGTTAATGTAGGAAAAGAAAACAACTAATAGTTGAAATGTGAAACTCACGAGAAAATGATAATTTAGATGTGTTTTTTGACCCTCAACTCTGATTTGTTATATGATTATTTCACTTCGACATTCAAGTATTTACGGTATGAGATGCTAATTTACTTGTCCTTTCCTACTTGTCCTGGGAAAGGACAACATATTTTTAACAGTGGTTGAAGATGTAAGTTTCGTGAGGATTCATCATAATCTGGTCAGCCTATCGTAGACCTCCTCTCTTCAGGCTTTAGACTGGTAATATGAGCAAGCTCACATTAATAGAGTTCAGATGGGAGTGAAATGGGATTGAGATGTAGTAGTTATTGTTTGAAGAAACAATAAGGAGTCTACCTTGCTGATAGTAGGCACCTTATTTTTGAATGACAGACACAATTGTACAGATGAGATGTAGTAGTTATTGTTTGAAGAAACAATTAGAAATCTACCTTGCTGGCATGTTATTATTGGATGAGACAATGGTCTGTCCTATGCTTAGTTTCATCTTGCGGTATTTTATGTAGTAGTTGAAACACTTTTCCTGTTTAGTAGAGGAAGCTAATGGTACTGAAACTATTTACATTGCGACAATCTTGTATTTATGTGGAGGCCAACTTATTTTGAGTGTAATACTCGGTTTTGGGTGCTTGAATATGTGAGCTTTTACCTGTAGTTGGTAAAAGGCAGTCATTTAAAGGAATCACACTCATATTGGCAGAAGGTGGAGTGAACTTGGTTCTTTGCTTGATCGTTGAAGTTGGTGACATGAAAAGGTTAACCTTAAAAATTAAATTATGCTTGCTTTTCATTGGCAACTTTTCGTGAGGTATTTTATGAGGTTTTACTGTTCAATGCTCACTGAGGACAGTTGGCTTTTAGTTCAGGGGCAAAGTTGGAAGAAAATTAAGGTTAATGGAGGAATTTGTTGGCATTTGAGACAAGTGACCTAGGTGGCAGGTGCTGTAAGTTCCAGAATATCTCGGCTCACCATCGTGCAAGCAATTCTTCAGAATGGACACTATTGTTCCACTTGGATTGCTCATTGATTTAGTCTTTGTTCTCTACTGTGACACTAACATACCTAGTATAATCTCGCAAGTGGGGTTTGAGAAGGACAAGATATACACAAAAAGGCGATAAAACTTCTACCATAATCCCAAAACCTTCAAATTATCCTATCTCGGGGTCATGTCCTCAGAAAATTGAAGTTGTGTCCTACATTGTGTAATCATCTCCTCCTTCGTTCTTTTTCACCCTACCTTGACCTTTACCTCTTCTAACTCTTACTACAACCAACCTCTCACACCTCCTACTAGCGCATCAATACACAATTGTTGTGTATGTATATGTTTTTTCCTGATCACATCTCTGTTAGCATGCCCACACACCCATTTGAGCATCATCAACTTTGGAACATGGATGTTTTTGACACTCAAGCTTTGGCTTCACATTTTTATCTCACATACTTTGGCATGTAATCTCACCCACTTTGCACCAATTTGATGCAAGACATCATGCATTAACTTCTCTGTCTTCTGTCCAAAAGAAAAAAAGGATCAGCGTATCTTGTGGTTCTATCTGATGGTTGATAGATTTTCCTTTTTTACATTCCATTGTCTTGTTATGTGGTTCTCAAACTCACCATGCTGTATGTAGTTGCATTATTTTCCACAAAGCTCTTGTTTATTATAATTATTTATGATTCTTAAATTTTCTTGCAAACAGTGATCTCATCATAGTTTCTTCTTTCCTTTTTTGCAGATGAAAGCTGGAAGCTTTGTTCAATTTACCTTTACTTTTATCTTGCTGTCTTTATGCTATGGGATGACATTTGTGGGCAGCTGTTGTTAAGGAAACACTCTAGGATCGAGTTACCCAACTTGATATGGCCAGGGGACAAGTGTAGACTATGGTTGGTAGAAAGGCAGGAGTGTCGAAGTTGAGCTGTGGGAGCTCATGACGTCTGATTTAAGCAATGCCTATGATGAAGAGGGGTCTAGGAACTCATGATGATCTGATGTAAGCCAATCTGAATTGAGGTATTTCTGAATGATGTTGAATGGTCAGCAAAAGCAATTTAACTGACAATCCCACGCAGGGCTGAGTTGAAGGGTGGTGTTATGATTGGGAGGAGGAGCTTTTGACTGTGAATCAGCTCACACCGCGGCATCCTGGATAACTAAATCAACATATGTGAGTTGCATAACAAAAATTTCAAACGGACTGACATGTTTTAAAAACATTTTTATGCTCCCAGAGGTTGTGTTTATGAGCAGTAACACAATGTTATGCATGCAAAAGCGGGATTTAAGGGGATACCAAAAAAAACAAACAGATTGTTGGATTGATAGTAAGATGACAGAATTTATCAGAACCAACATGGCACATATCGGAGGACTACAATGATTGGTATACTATGCTGAAAATGTTAGCATCATAGGTTCGCATTTGCCACTATTTTATATTGACTTGTACTGGACAGCTTGTTGCTTATTCTTCATTATGTTAATTTCATTCCGACTTGGATGGAGTTTGGAATCTCAGCGTACATTATACATGGATTATTTCTCCTAATACCTCTTATCGAACGGTCCCTCAACTCCATTTAACATGGTCAGCTTAGCCATCACTTTTTTTAAAATTTTATCTTTATGTTTTTGTTGTACATTTCTTGCAACTTCCTATGCCGTGCATCAAACCTCACACGTATGACATTAAGTACACCCTATCGTCAAACTCGGCCTTGAATCTCGCCAATCGCTATGTCATATATAAATAACTTATCAACACATTAATTCAACATCACCGAAGCAAATAAAAGTGATGAAGTGTATTTAGATCTCTGCTCCATGGTACAGTATTGTTTGTTATTATTTTTATTTTTAGAGTTAAATTATAAAAATTTTGATTAAGATGTAATTTTTTATCATATTAATATAAAAAAAATTGTAATTTATAGTAGTTTTTATATAGTTTTAGAATATCTAATTAATGTATCCTATTTAGCTTTTAAAATAGTAACTTATAAACGATATCGGAATAATTTAAATATAGAAATTGCTTACAAAAGCGCTTGGCAAAAATTACTCGCCATATTGGGTCAACAATCATCGTGGCATAAAGCTCCAGCTTCAACTACTTGTCTACTTCACTCTCTGTTCATCTTCTTCTTGTTGTGATGTGAAAAAGAGAGACGGAGTATGCAGGGCTACTCTGTGTTTTCACTTCGAGTTACTTCTTTTTCCCCCTTTTCCATTTTTCCTTCAAACACCACCTACTCTTCAATTCCCTTTAAAACTGCTAAATTGAACTCATGGGGCAAAAGGGTTGTTGATTCTCGTGTTGTTAATCCTTTTGATTATGCTCGCAACAAGCCTGTGCTTTGTTTCAAGGTAATTTCTGGTTTTTTCTTGTTTTATTGTGTGTGTTTCGGCAACCCCTTCTGCATTTTTCAATTTAAAACTATTCAATTTTTCATCTAAACTGAAATTTGGGGGATTCATAGTTAATTACCGAAGAACCAGTTGCTGAGTGTTAATTTGCTTATAGAGGTGCGGAATTTTGGAGCTTTATTAAAGACTAGGTGGTATTCATCTCAATTGAATTTAGCTGCAGTTCGTAATCGTGCTCTATTCCCCTTTCAATTTGGAAAAAGAAGGAGAAAGACCCGTGTGAAGCTTTTTTATTTTAGAACAGATCACTAGGGTCTAGTTGTTCCCTTAGCTACCCGTTTTGCATAGATGAAACATTGCTTGTTTTTACTTCCAATGTGAAGCAACAGTGTTCTTTTTTCTGGACAATCAGGTACATGCTACTGCTGCTGAAACTGATCAACCAAAATGGTGGGAAAAGAATGCCTCAAATATGATTGACATTCATTCAACTCAAGAATTTTTAGATGCTTTAAGTCAAGCTGGTGATAAATTAGTGATTGTTGAATTCTATGGCACATGGTGTGCCTCTTGTCGTGCATTGTTCCCCAAGGTGAGTATTTAAGCTTTCCCTGAATAATGATCCATTGCTTTTTTTAAAATAAGGAATGCGTTGTTCTCGCAAATATTACTTGGATGTATAACTATACTCATCCTGTGGTTTGCGCTCTTTCACTGATAGGTCTAATAGAGGAAGGAAACATTCTGGTAACAATTGCTTCATAATTACATGATCAATCTCATTTGTGATTATTTTTTTGATAAATCAATTATGAAATTAGAAATGCAGTTTGAAAATTTTCGTTTACAAGCGGCCTTATTGTTTGTGGACATTCTCAAATTTTATAGTCCCCACTCCCCTCTACTTGGGAAACTTCTTAATATGGATGAAGTGTTTTTGCACAAGTATCTTATATCTCCTTCGCCATTTTGTATCTTTTGGAGCTTATGGGAAAAAAAGTAGGAGAATGTTCCCATGTAATTGCAATTAAAATCTGTTGGTCCCATGACATGGACATTGAATTCTCTATTTCTATTAGAATCTGTCTCCATTCATGTTATTGCAAGTAAAATTGCTGCACATAGAGCTTCTTTATGTTCTGACTGTTGAAGAGAAGGCTGCTCTCAATTTAGGACGTACACATAATTTGTCTGATTGTACTCATTAAGTTATTAATCCCAACTAGCTTGAGATTTAAGCACATAGTTGTGTTGCTATTAAATGTGTGGTATGGTGAATTTTACTTTGGTCTCTCATCTTCCTCTTGTAACTATTAGGATTTACTATGTTCTAATGTTCGATATTGGGCTAATTTCCTTATTGATTAGTTTCAACTTACATAATCATAATATGTTCTTAATTTACTCATTACTCTGGTTTGGCCTCATTAAGTTTCTAGTAATTTCTTTTTGTCATTTGGTTTGTCTGTTTGAATCCCCATGCTTACAGTTCTATATTTACTTATTCCTTTTTAAAATTTGATTTACCACACACCTCCTAACAAATGCCAAACAAGATTATGTTGTCCAAGATATCCTAATAGATAATTTGTTTGTTTTTTCACTTCTCAATGGCCAGGTCTGCATGATTGCGGAAAAACACCCAGAGATTCTTTTCATTAAGGTGAACTTTGATGAGAACAAGTCTTTATGCAAAAGCTTAAATGTAAAAGTCCTTCCATATTTCCACTTCTATAGAGGGGCTGATGGTCTGCTGGATTCCTTTTCTTGCTCTCTCGCAAAGGTAGGACGATGAAGTGCATCAGTCTGTTTTTTTATTATGTTGGTGCTTCCTGTTTAGTATACTTGGGAATAACTTGTTCCTAGTTACCCTGCGTAGAAATGTACTGATTGACACTATCCGATTGTTAATCTCGTCGCTATTAGTAGGAACTCCATTACTAGGTATCTTTGGTAAATGAAATTTCTTAACTGATAATGTGGTGACCTAAATATTTCTGTTTAGTTCTGGGGAAGAAGAATTTCATTACAGTCTAAGCATATGTGCTGTTACTCATGTTCTTACCTTTCAATCAATTTTCCTTTGAAAGAACTTACTCTGGAAAATACAATGCAGCTCCAGAAACTAAAGGATGCCATTGAGAATTATAACCCAGCTCATGCAAAGGAAAGCTGAAAGGCACTGGTGATTCTCAATTTCCCTGAAGTTTTCTGCAGTCCAAATCGTCTTCGAAAAATTTGTTTGTACTATATTTTGTTTCAGAACCTTATTGCAGATTGCTGTGGGCTGTGTCCCACTCACAGCTTTTCTTCTATAATATGCTGGAAAGCTGCACATAGTTTTTTGTACAAAGCACTCATTTTTTGCCTCTGCTGTTATCTCTCTCATGTGATTATATGGTAAAAAATTGGAACAAATCACTATCGTATGTGTTTTATAAAGAAGAATGGAGTTTCAGAATTCTATTTTGTTTGAAATCCATGGAAATGGCAAGAACCTTTGAGACTATTGCGCCCAAAATGTTTTTATATACATAATTCATTTAAAACTACTACTGTATTTCTTTTTCGTTATGTTATATATTGCTCTAGTCTCATAGTATGTAGTCACAAGAAACTGATTGTTTGATTTGTTTCTTCTCTTTGTTATTTTACAATCAAATTTGCCAATATAATGAAACCTATTAGTACTATTTAGCATGTATAGAATCATCGGTAAAGAGCTCCGAGCTTCCAACTTGTTATTTTCTGTCTATGTGGTAATTGTAGGAGCTAGAACTTTTGATCTTTTCCCTTTTATTGGTGCTTCAGTATCGGGGAAGTGACCATTTCTCTCCATAAGATCCTCTACATGACCTTCTGCAGTCACATTCACAGGGTAAGTAACCAAATGAACACCCTTCATGTCTTCTAATTTATCTTGATCGTAAATTTTCCACATTTTGTCTCCAATGGAACGGATTCTATTCACACATTCCAAACTTTGAGGATGTTGAAATTCTTGCTCCGCTTGTCCAGTGTGCTCATACCACAATGACATACGATATGCGTGAATGTCCCTTTGATCTATGTCTTCTTCAGTTTTCGACTGATAGCATCCTATTGCGATCTCAGTGTCTCGTTTCCCATCCATGGACCTTTGATTTATGTTAGCAGAACCAATTAGTAAGTATGTATCATCCACTGAAAATTTAGAGAAAGCATTGTTAGCATGTAAGCTTTATTAGTATGTATCATCCACTGAAGATTTAGAGAAAGCATTGTTAGCATGTAAGCTTTATTAGTCTAAATGATCAATAAATACGACATGTAGAAGTGGCAAATGTGCGAGTTGAGTCAAACTTGCTAGAGTTGGAATGGGTCAAAATGAGTTGGATCAAGATGAGTCAAATGACAGGTATTAACACAACATGCCCAACATAATCTGCCTTCAATCTCCAATATTAATCTTGTAGGTTTGAGTTTGGGTTGCATTTTGACCCGTCAGATAGAATACTTGATCTGTTAACTAGTTTACTTTGTCATGATGGACACATTACTTGAAAACGGATTGATTTGACTGTGTCTAAATCAACACTACATGAGTATATATATAGAGAGAGAGGAAGACTTATCATACCTATCATGATCTTAGAGTGGACATAAACCATGAATCTCCTATTCTTTTGGGCTCTCCAGTACTGTGATTCTGGATGTGGAGAATAAGGAGGAGCAAATTCTCCTTTGATCTTTTCTTCTCTGTTTGCAAGACAGAAGAAATTCAAGTAATCTCTAGGATGTCCCTGTTCGCCACTTTCTTTAATCGCTTCACCTATAAATTTATACATCATCTTCATAGTTTCCCTAGTCCAGTACAAGATATCTTGCACTGAATCACTCTCTGGCAGTCCTTCTGGCCACATCGGTATCACAATGTACACAGAAAACCGTTCCTTAGCTCTGATTTTGTTCACAATCTTTAGTGCAATCTCTATTGGAATTAAGTTTCTGCAACCACAATGTTGATCTTGCTCCCAAAGGTGACATCCACCGATGAAATACTGATTCTCGATGTATATAAATCTGTCAGCTCGTCTGATTGCTTCAACATACGCTTCATGAATACTTCTTTCAACTGTCATGTTCCTAGGTAAAGGGCATGCGGAGACATGATCAATTGATCGGAAGACTTGAACGTTCCAATCCCGATCAGTAGAAGCCATGTTTGGCTGATTGCTGAGTTCTGGAATGGATCTTATGGGAATGAGCAAAGAAGGACCAATTTGCTTATTCCATCTTTGTTCAAAATTGTTGAGAACATCCATAGCTGCTTGCCCTGTGACACGAGCGTGAGCATCGTGCCATGGTTCTCTCGGCCCTCCTTTGTGCAGGCTTGCACCTGATAGGCTTGTCTGATAAAAATCATAGCAATGTGATTCTGTGTTAAGAGTTCTAAACAGGGAATGCTCTTCTGTGTCGTATCGACCATCACAGAGATCTAAACCACCAAGAAAACTAGTAATTTCTCGACTAGTTGATGATAAATGACTTCTTGAATCTACTGCTATCATCTTCTGATGATGTGCAAAGAATGAGGGAAGTTTATGGTGTAATCTGGGAACCAATTTGCATACTACTTTTGTGTCTCTGAAATAAGCTAAAGAATCTTCGTCGTGTGTTCTCATCACTCCCTTGTTCTTGATGATTGGTAAGGATGTTTCATCATCCCAAAGCATGATCATCACAGCTACACCTTCCTCTGCTTTACGCTTCAGCAATTCACCTAGCTTTACTCCTTTTGCATGTGTAATTTCTGCACTGGGATCACGGACCTGAAAAGAGAAGGCACCAGTGTTCAAATGTTGAGAAAATGGACATTAGGTCTAACTCAACCAGACCTGAACTCAACTACAAAAACTATCTAACGCCCCTACCTCATGAAGCGCGTATAACATAACATAAAGACCCTTCCTAGATGTAGAACTTGACAAAATATTCATTCTTTCTTTAGAAACAAACAAATGTCCCTTGGACAAATAACCTTTGTTTGGACATACCTTCAAACTAGCTCGAAATTCTTTCTATACCCTAGAGCTCTGATACCATGTCAAGAAAATCGACATTGGGTCTAAGGTCTAACTTAACCTTAAAAGAGACAACTCAATCCTCAACTAATGTACCTCAATCTAACACCAAAATACACACATAAAACAATGCAACAAAAAAAAAGGAAAGGACATGTAGATAGTTTTTTCCCCTTACCAAAACCATTTTAGGACTGAAAGACCACCCTGCAATGTAAACCAAATGCTTTGCATCCTCAATGGCTCTATATATGTCCTCCCACAAGTTTTTAGGTCTCGTCTGAAATGGAGGTTGGAACGTATGTTGGTGATGTGCATCCTGATAAAGAGTCACACTGCAGTTTGATCTTTGAGGAAACGTCGAATTTTTTAATCCTGTGAATGCACCATTCTCTAGTATTCTTCCCCAGCTTGGTTCATTTTCTGCTGGTTTGAACCAAACAATGAACTGTAACTTCAGTTTCTTCTTTGGCTTCTTGTTTTCTATAGAAAGTGGGAAGAATCCCTCGATTAAACTCGTTTCGTTTAAGAGCTTGTTTGCCTGAATTGTGAATTTTCCTAAGATGGAGCATTTTGTCTTGAGAGTAATGGTAACTGTTGTGTCTGGAGAATGAGCACAGAGGATTTGAAAAGTCTGGTTCCATACGCGATCGCTTTCTTGTGTTGTTTTTGCTACTGTTTTGTTATCAATCTTGATTGTCACAAATGCAGGTTTTCCATTTGATGAAATACACTACAAAATATATAAAAAAGTAAGAAGAGAGGATTTTAAACCTTAATTAACTTATTGTTATTGCAGCTCAAGGGCTCTGGTCTACTGGTAAGAGTGCAGTCCGTGATGTGCTGATTAGACACACTTTACGAGTATGAACCACAAAATGTAATGGTTCTTCTTCCACAAAGATTCAGACAAAAACGCGCTTGGATAGCACTGAACAAAGACTTGGATATTGAATGATCAATTCACCATTGAGAACATTTAGCCTCAAGAGACAAATATCGCGGTGTTCTAAGAATTTTGATGAGCGAAATCTAATGTACTATTTATAAATCACTTACCTTAAAGGGAAGAGATGATTTGCGAGATGTGGCACGAAAAATTGAGACTTCAAGTGTTCCATGAAAAAACTTGTGTTTGCCCTCCATCTTTTATTTTTTTTTGAAGCTCTTTCAAAGTATTCACGATATTTGATTGATTATATTTTGATAGAATAGCATCAAAGAAACTATACAAAAATTAATTATTTTTTTTGGTCATGGGATCACATTAGTATGTGTTGATATATAAAGGTTGGTAAGTCTGTTATTTTAATCCAAAGACAGCTATATATATTTGGAAACTTGGAATACAATTGAGGTGTTGGAAGTGGACAAAACTTAAAAACATGTAAAATTCATCCTTAAAGGCAAGCCTTCAACTTCACTGCTAGTTTCTGCTTTAAGTTGAAGTTTTCCCTATCCCGCAAATGCATAGATAATCGAGTTTAACTTTTATGCACGGATAATCAAATATCTTTTTATACTTTTGTAAAAATATAAAGAGGAGTATCTGTTAATAATTAAAACGTGAAATTTGTAATCTGTAAATAGATTGTTCTATATTCGCTTAGACTAATTCTTTCTTTTCTTTTTATCTATTATTTGTCCAATTTAATTTCATAATACTTTAATTATTTGTTGGTCTAATGTTTGGCACGTTGGATTAATGCACTCCATATTGTCTATTTTGTTTATTATTATCTAACAAACAACATATATTCTTAGTTTAAGGGTATCTATATTTTCAGGATCTAAACGAATTAATTAATAGTTATTTCTAGAAACAACAATAAACATTACTCGGTTACATAGAAGGTTATTGAAAGATTATTTCTGATAGATCTGTAAGTAAAGTAAATAATATCAAAAATCAAGTATTGAAAAAATATACAATGAAAAAGACATGCTAAAAACAAAAGGAGAAGTGAACAATATCAAAGAATATGATAATAGGTATAATAATATTAATAAAGAAACTAAATAACTCAATTAGCTATTAAATTTTTACCTTAATCCTCGATCTTAATATTTTTCAAATGATTATAAAAGAAGAGGAAAACTATGTTAGGTGGTGCTGAAGATGATAATAACGCAAACGGTTCTTTGGCCAACTTTCTTTATTCTATTGTTGGAAAATTTGGCAACCAAACTGCTGAGTCAATACAACATATAAATATCAATTTAGACTAACCTAATAGTGCTAATAATAATTAAAACATGTAACTGTTTTTGATTTATTTTGTCCTGAATAATTCTTTTCAGGAACTAAATATTAACTCAAAATGTCCTGAATAATTTTTTTTTCTTAAATAATCGTAGTGAATCCTCTCGCTTTTGTTTTTATTTTTTTAAATTATGTTTCTTAATCTCATTGTTGATATAATAACTTGTGATGGTCCTTATATGATTGTGCTCAGATGTATCTAAATTCTAATGAATTTTCAGTCCGAAAATTATTAATGGCATTTACTAATTTAAAGAGAACAAGAAAATCAACTTCAAATTATTGTGATTACTGCCTCTTCCTATTAAAGAAAATTAATAATGCCCAAACAAAATATGGTATCCTTTGTGATTAAGAAAATGACACATTTATCTGGAAATTTGCAATAGAAATATCCAACTTGATAGAGACTTGTCAATTCTCGAATATTCAATACAAAATTCGGATTTTTTCGAATAAATAACTTGTTTAGATTCTATATATATATTTTTAATTTTAAAATTCACGATTTTTCAATTAATATCCACACTTTTACCTTGATTTAACAAACGACTTCTTCAATAGTGACAAAGAAAACAAAAAAGGTTCCAAAAGGTTAAAATACTTGCTCTTTATAGATTTATTTTATACAAATTCAAATTAATCGACTCGATTTACTTAAAAAGAAAGAAAAAAAATAAGTAGTGTCACATGGGGTTCGGGAATGTACATTCTTTTGCACTTGAAGTTTTATGATTTGGGTATTGGAAGATCCAATAATGCGTCCCCACTCCACTCCTACCACCCACGTTTCCTCAAATTTTCTTCCCCAACTACTTACTTATCGATAACCGTTTAAATTCAAATCAAAATTATTAATTCAAATTGAAAAAAGCTTTTTAATTAGTGTTTTCGATAATGATATGTATCGGCTCATTTGCATGGTTTCTTTTTTTTTATTTTTATGTAAAAAATGTTAACCGTCAAATTCATAATTTAATGATTCTATAATTATCTAACATGCTTACAAACTGAAAATCAATAATACATCGCATTATACTCGATCACCCATTTTTATATCGCCATGAAATATAAATTTATGTTATAATATATAAATAAATAACAATCATGAGAGTTTTACATATATATTTTTTTCTTGTTGTCTACTTACTTTAGAACTAATTATCATATCGAATACATCCGAAGAAATCATGTTATTTAGAATAAAATAAAATTATTTTTAAAATATCAATAGTATTATTTTATTTGATTTTTTTTCTGTAGATTAAATTAGATTGAAAAAGGACAAAAGAGGAAAAACAAATAAAAAAGAGCTTTTATTGCTTTTTAGAAGTGAGACAATGCACGTGGTATAAGAGGGCCGGCTTCGTTGTTGCCTTTTAACATGTTCACCTTCTCCCACTACTTCGCTACTCACGTCTATTATCGAGTTTTCTATAAATTCCCGTTCGATTATAAATTTTAAAATTTATAAATTAATTCGTATATTTTCTCGAATTTCATATAAATGAATTCATTTTGTTATCATTATTATCTTTCAAATTCAATTTCAGGATGAATTTCACTAACGAAAACTCTGATTTGATCATCATATTAGGTCAAAGTGAGATTTAATTTAGGATAAATATGAATATGTTTAAAGTTGTTACGCCATCTATAAAGCTTATATTGAAAGGTACTCCCTTTAGGTGTATCAAAATACTACTAATATTTTGATTAGACTAATAATAATAATAATTAAGAAAGTAGTTGCCGTAGTCAACAAAGAAAGGTCGACCAATATAATTAATAAATTTGGATACAATGATAAGAAGCTTCTGAAGGAGATGATATATAATTTTTCTTTATTTTATTTTTGGAAACGCTTTAAATTTTATCCATAATGACGACATGTCATTGCAATAAATTTTATGATTATCAGTTCTAAAAATAGTTAATCACTTACCCTTCAAACTAAAATATTATTGGTTTAGAACATCTTTCACCCTTGATAAGTTAAAATTTCTCTAAATTATTGTTGTTTTACAAGTTTTATATTTAAGATATTTGATAATCATGTTATTTTATTAAAATATTAATTTTTTCTATATAAATAAATTTTGATATAATATATGTAATAAAATATTTGTGATAAGTTATTGAGAAGCACGTAAATAATGAAGTATGTTTTTAAGATACATCTATTTGGCATAATCAGTATGATAGTTGTTTTGTAAACGCCCATAAGTATAAAACTTATAAAATCATAACAATTTTAAAGAAATAAAATGTTTAATATATCTCTCACATCTTTTTTCACATACACTGACACTTAAAATTCGTTAGAGAAAATTTTATAATTTAATATTCACACAGTATATGAATTTTATGAACACAATAATTATGATATGAAATTCGATTAATTAAATGGATTTTTAACAAATTCAGCTATTATATTAGCTTAAATTTATTATTGATGTTAAATTGTGAAAAGGAAATAAAGAAAGTAAAGAAAACTCCGTGGAAAGAAAGACCAGGAGACAGCTATTAGTTGCCACGTGTCACTCAGCTTTTCGTTGATATTTTCACACAAATTATAAACTATTCAACATTTAGACGACTTCCCCTCATTCACTCCGTCCCCTTTTTAGCTTCCATTTTCACTAAAACAGCGAAGAAAAAATCCTCTCCGTTTTCAAAATCTCCGGCCAGAAAATGACGAATTACGGCACAATACCGACGTCATCTTCCGGTCCGGTAAACGTGGAGTTCATCAGTAGAGCAAAAGATGTGTTAAAGGAAGGTTTAGCTGCTCGTAGGCCATGGAAGGAGATGTTCAATTTCCACTCCTTCAATCTTCCATCCGGAGTCAGCGATGCTATATCACGAATCAAGACAAATTTCTCCTTCTTCCAGACGAACTATGCCATCATAGTGCTCGTTATTGTCTTCCTAAGCCTTCTCTGGCACCCGATCTCACTCATCGTCTTCATAGTTTTGATGGCTATTTGGTTGTTTCTGTACTTCCTCCGTGATGAGCCGTTAGTGATTTTTGGCCGTCTGATTTCTGATAGTACGGTTCTGATTGTTCTATCTGTTCTTACTCTCGCTTTGCTGCTGTTTACCGGCGCTACATCTAATATCCTGATATCTCTAGCGGTTGGCGTGTTTGTGGTGTTGATTCATGCTTCGATAAGGAAGACTGATGATTTGTTTTTGGATGAAGAAGGTGCTGGATTCTTAAGATCTGCTCCGTCGTCTTAGTTTGCTGTGTTAATCTCCAGTCCGTTTAAGTTTGTTAACCATTTTTAGTTTTTTTTTTTTTTAATTTATTTAATTTCCGATAGCTTCTTCGATTGATTGTTTGTATCACCATACACTTTTGTTCATTTCTCGTTGAATTCGATCATCGATGAATGGTGATTTGTTGTTTATTTTAGTGATTTTTTTCTGGAAATGTGTGTTGTATTTTAATTAATGTCGGCAGAAATAATTTTGGGTGATTGGAAAAATACGTGTACTTTCGCGATACTTCGTCTGAATTGGGTTTTAAATAAAAGAGTAAATTAGAAAGTTAACCAATATAATATAGCTAATGTTTGGTTTCCAAGTTTTTAAATATTTTTTCATCCTATGTTTTCGCTTTAATTTTTTTAAAAATATTTGATTATTTGAAAAAATAAGATTTATATTCATAAATTTTATAAATTATTTAAATATATATATAAATTTATATTATTATTTATAATGAATATGCTCTGTTAAAAAATAATTTTATAATATAATTGATAACTATCAATAATAACAATATATACAAAGTAATACATTAATTGTATATTCAATCTTATTATTAATTCAATTATAATTATGATTTATTAAATATTGTTCTTTTTATTTTTCAATTTTATCACTCAAATTAGAAATCAAACATTTATAGAGGAGATAGTAATAAATATTAGTTGTAATTAAAAAATTATGGCATCTCTTATAAAATATAAATTTTTGAGGTAATTTTTTTTATCTTGGCTAAAATACTAAATCTTTCTATTATTTGGGAACTTGTGATACTTGACAAATATATTGCCGCTTTACATAACCAAAAATATGTTTTTCCCAATTATTTCTCAAGTATTCTTTGAGCGAAACATGTTCTTAATAAATTTAAGTGCATACTTATACACACTTAGAATTAGAAAGCATAATTATTTATCAAAAACAAATTAAAAATCATATTTACGCATTAGCATGATTTATAACCATTATAAATACAAATTAGTCAAGGTTGATGATAATTCAAAGTAGGGAATAGACTAGTAATAGGAAGAGTTGTTTCACTTAATTTTTCATAGTAGTAATCATAGTTTTATTTTTTTAATTGTTTGTGTATTTTTTTCTTTAGTACACTTAGTTCACAAATAATGAAATAGTAGCACTAAATTTTGGGCGTGTTAACTAAATATATATATATACACAAACTTTTTCCTCCCAACTATTGATGGGTTAATGTAAGGTAATGTTTACATTATCAAATAATTTGTAAAAAATAGCTATAGATAAATTGTTATTATAAAAATTAACTTAATGCCATTTTATTACAATTACTAATTTGCTACTAAAAAGAAGTTTGCATACTTGGGCACTGTGCTAAAGGTGTTGTACTTGGTGTGAAATTCAGGCGAGTATATCGTAATTTACCGTCTAAGGCCCTTGCATTTACCTCCTCTACTGCGACCGGCGCCGGCCCCGGCCCCCGTGAAGATGGCTCACCTACCGGCGTACGATCCTTACTACGTACCTCAACCAGTATATGCGTACAAAAATGAGCAGAATGATATAAAAACGCTGTTTGTCTCGGGACTTCCTGATGATGTTAAAGCTCGTGAGATTCACAACCTCTTCCGCCGCCGTCATGGGTTTGAATCGTGTCAGCTCAAGTACACCGGTCGAGGAAATCAGGTATCCTTTCTTTCCTAATTCACTGCTTTACCTGCGTAGTTTTTTCGAAGCTATCAAGTGATCTAGTAACGATTTTTGAGTCGCCTATGTGAGTAGTTATGCTTCATTTTAGCACGAATCAACTGTCTGATTATCTGCATTACTTGTTGGAAGAAGTTCATTTTTTTTAACTGAAAACAATAGAAGAGGAATTGCAACTGGAGCAGTTTCACATGACGGAGGTGATCAGAGGTGAATTTCAGAAGCGTTTAGGATACGGTTAATCAATTTCTGAAAGTTGTTGGTTACTTAAATTTTGGAGGCAGAAAGGTTTTCACTTTCTAGTAGAAACAATTTAGGGTTTCACTTTGTGACAATTCACTGATTAGGATTTGGTGAAGATAGAATTGTCTCTTCATTGTTCTTTGGAAGATACACAATGCTAGCAGGTAGAGCCGGAGCAAGGACTGCAACTTTGTGTGTGTGGTTTTTTTTTATGACAAGGGAAACCTGCAGCAGCTACCTTTGGGTGCGCACGGGGTAAAACCGCCACTCTTATGCAATAGCTCGCAAACCACATAGGAGAGGCAATCTGCTCTATGCAAGCCTGGTGCGACGAGCTCGGCCCAAAAGGCAAGCCCCTTGCTTTTGCTGGCAAGAGATTTCGAACTTGAGACCTCCAACATGAAAGTCTTAAGCACAAACCACTGGGCCACCTTGAAGGGTACTTTGTGGTTTTTGGAACTCCAAATGATGACTTCATGTGTTAATATTGAGTTCTGAACCTAATTTTTTTTATGTATTTAATGAAATTCTTAACAAAAATTTACTATTTAAGCAAAAGTTATTGGGTTAAGTTGCATTCGTATCTGGGCATTTAGCTCAGCCTCTACGAGCAGACAAAGGCAAAGACCATATTTACCTTAGCTTATTCCACATAGAAAGAGACTCTTGTCCAATTTCTCAGGTGGGGAAAGTGAAATAGTTACATTTGTTTGTTATTGTGAAGACAACCTGATCAATCTGTTAACTTTATTCTGGTATGAAGTTTTTCAGCAGCTCTCAAGTCAAAATCGAAAGGAATTGATAGCGGAAGGCGAAATCCTTTTTTTTATCAACTGTAACATCTATGCTCCAATCTTGAGTTTTAGGCTAAAAACATTCTTAAACTATGACCCAGACTTAAAGTACGTCCTTGTATTACTGTAAGGGGTCGTTTCGTTAGAAACCAAACGACATAATTTTTTTTTACCCCATCACTATTGTGAAAGCATTCATTTTCTCTTTTTTCAACAACGAAGGAAATTTATCTGATAAATACTTAGTTATGCGCAATTGTGTAGAAATATTTGTTCAGTTTCCTGCTCAAATAAATACTGCACAGAGCTTAATTATTCTTTCTTTCTCTTCCATTTTTCTTTAAAAGCTACCAGTGATTTTAATAACACGAGTGGTGATGATTTATAATGGAAACAATTAGTGAATTTTAGATTATTTTGTGCAGTACCAATACTTTCAATCTCTTTGGATCATTTTATTTAACAGGTAAGGAAATTTTAACAATATTTTAGCAAGATGAAGAAGATGAAGGGAATCGTACTTGTCAGTTATATTAAACAACTAAAACACTGTTGGATAGAGAAAAATTATGAACTTGACTTTTGCCTTTGATTTGTGAAGCACTACTACATATACGGTTGAAGACAAATCGTGTCAAAACTATAGCTCTTCAATTGGTAAGAGAGAGATTATGAGCTATAGCATATGGTTTTTCTGCCCAAAAGCTCTACGCTTTTCGAAATGACAGAGAAGTTCTGCTGAACGTTAAAGACAATAAGATAGGATAGAAATAGAAATATTTGGGGTGGGGTGGTCGTAGGGGCTGGGGCAGTAACTTCTTTGGCTGTTAGTTTTTGACCGAAACTAAACAGAAGGATGATTGTTGCAACTTTTGAATTAGTTAAGGGATGTTTTTTGTTTACTTTAGTAATACTAGGATGTACTTTAGGTTTAAGTCATAGCTCAAGGATGTTTTCAGCCTAAATTCCTTCTATTTTCAATTGTGTTTGTAATCTTCTTCTTCCAATATACAGGTTGTTGCCTTTGCTACTTTTATTGATCATCCATCAGCAATGGCGGCCATGCATGCCCTGAATGTGAGATATCTAATCTGAGTAGGTCTAGTTATGTTCCACATTCTGTTTGGATTTTGGAAATCACATATATGCTGCTTTTAAGACCACCTTATTCCAAGATGTTCTTATTCTTTTCTTTTTGTGTTCTGTTTAAAAGATAAAGAGTCTCTGAAATATTAAATTTATCCAACTATTCACAACCAGACCTTGCCTTATTATCTCGGTCTCTCAATTCATCTGCAAATAAGTGTTTTTTTTTTTTGCATTATGAATTGTGTATGGTGATGAATTGATTTGGTTTAGTTTTGTTGCTAACATTAAAAGCCCACAATGCCCATTAAGCGCAAAAGGGAACAAACAAATTCCGTTTCTGCTAACCTCCTTTTAGTTCTAATTTGAGTTTTTACTACCTATCTTGAGGCTCATGTAGACATTCAACTTTTACTTCATTAGTTTAGTCAATTGGTATCTTTCTTGTCCTTTACCAATCCCAACTCCAGGGTGTAAAATTTGATCCTCAAACTGGATCCACTTTGCACATTGAACCGGCAAGATCAAACTCTAGAAGAATACAAATTCCAGGTATAAATTTGTTGCAATCATTGATATTTATTTGATATCAATAAAGTTTTTGCATCCGAAAAAATGGAAAATTTCTTTTTCAGTTCTTGTTTTTTTTATAATTATTGCTTCTATTGGCTCATTTAGATGGTTACTGTCAGGAAGAGGACCTTATGTAGTGATTGACAACAGAAACAAGTTCAATGAAGATGCCGAAGGAGGCACATCAAGCAATGAAGGTACTAACTTTGATCTTTGCTATATGGTTTAATTACCACATTTAAGATGTCAAATAAGACTTTCTACAAGGAAGTATTTTCATCCAATTTTGTACTGAGAATCATGGTGTTGGTACTATTTGCTTAATCAGGTGATAATGATTCTGATGATGCTTCCGAGCCCGAGAATCCTGATTCTGGGACAAAGGATGATTCTTCAGAAGAGAAACGGTCAAGCATTTTGATAAACTAAATTTTACTTATAAATACATGTGTAATTTGAGGTCTGTTGCTTTGACCTCTCATGGAAAGCTTATTATTCTCTATCGTGGAACAGTGAGGAGAAAGTAGTGGAGCCTGACCATGCTTTGGCCCCAAAAAGTGTAAGTCATATACCCTCTATCTGTAGCATGTGTTGTATGCTGGACATAGGCACTGCAAACAGATTAGGTGAAGCTCTGAAAGTGTGTGCCCTTCAAATCCTGAAAGTTGGAATGAACATGTGTAATATACATAGATAATCACCAAATGTGCAAGTGCTGCAAATTACAGTTGCAGACCTGACTTATTTTCAAATTACTTGTTTAGTTCTTAGTGAATAGAAACCCTCTTGTTTCACTATTGAAGCAAACATCTAGGATGAGTCTTGTGGATTTTTACTACTGATTCATTCCTTTTTCTGGAATTCGTATTAATTTCCAAGCGTTTTATTTGGATTTGATGTTATAGGAACAAAACGAGAAGACAACAGATGGAGCACAACCATGTTCCACTCTGTTCATCGCCAATCTTGGTCCAAATTGCACCGAGGATGAATTGAAGCAAGTTGTTTCTCAGTAAGTTCCTGTATAACTCCTGCACTGGAGGGCGTTCACTTTCGTGTCTCTCTTGAGAACTCAGTGTTCATATGGTTAAGCAGTTTGTTCTGTTAGTGCTAGCTACAGATGGAAATATTATAAGTTGCTATGCCTACCTAAAACTGACTCTATATGTTGCTTTTACTGCCAGGTATTCTGGATTTAACACCCTCAAGGTGCGTGCAAGAGGCGGGATGCCTGTTGCTTTTGCTGATTTTGAGGTACCTCTCACAGACTTAAAAATGAAGCTGATATACCTGCATTTAAAATATCACAGAGATTTGGTCATGTGTTTGGAATTTTCAACCATTCTGGTCTCTGCTGCAGACATTAGGAAAAGTTATACTTCCCTTCTGTGCTATTTTCTGTAAAAGGGAAGTGATGTTGGAAAATACATGAAGCACCATACATGTACATATGTTACTAACTGGAAAAGGGATGACGTTGCTTTAATCATATTTCCATCAGTTATATATCTAGTTTTTTGTTTCTATAGGGCGTTGAGCAAGCAACTAAAGCACTGAATGAACTTCAAGGAAGCACTCTACCATCTTCTGATCGGGGTGGCATGCACATAGAGTACTCCTTTTCGTCCTAGTGCAAGTACATTCTGAGTATTTACATGTTTGTGGCACTGTTACTAAAATTTCCTTCCTGTCCTATTCAGGTATGCAAGATCCAAAATGAGGAAGCCGTAGATACCTTCTTTTTTTTTCCTTGTCTAAAAAAATGGTTATAGACTTACTGGCTACTCTCCGAAGATATTTGTGGTGCTTCATTTCCTCGATATCTTTATGTGTTATCCAGATTTAAGAGTGTATGAAAGTATTTATGGACAAATTAGATATCATTCTTAAGACGCTAGCATGCTTTTGTCCAACTGACTTCACATGGATTGCAACTAACTAATGTAATTGCGCATCAACTCTTTAGTAGAGCAGCTGTAACTAACTTTTAACTTCATTAGCATGTTGAAGCTCACATTCATCTTCTTTACTTCTTAGCTACAGCCATGACTTTTTGTAAACTTGAATTTCAACTATCATGTCCCATCGCGGTATCTATTTCTTTAAATAACCTCAAGTATTTGATGAGTAGGTAGGACATTGGATTGTCAAACAAGCTAGCAATTAAGATTGTGAAGCTAGGTTTCTCTTCAATCAAAATAGCGTTCTTTTCTTTGAGCTATAAGTTTAAGATTGACTTGACAGTCCTCATTTAATTATAAAATACAAGAACAAGTAGATAGGACATCAAATAGGATAACATGCACTATATTACGGCTACCTTCTATACAAGGATATAATAAAACAAACAAACACATGGCTTAAGACAAAACTGCCTGGCTAAATAGACCTGATATAGCAGAAAAATGTATCTTATGTGTGTCAAGCAAGATCAAGTTATCTACAGATGGTCCCTAATATGTTGACCTATCCCAAACATTCGAGGGGTTCCTTTTGTCAAATGAGAGCTTGGCACTGAATTCCTCCGATCCATCAGAGGAGCCACTGAACCTTTGACACTGTTGCTGGGCATCTGACCAAATCCTTCCACTATGGTTTCCAACATCATATCCAGGCGTTGTTGACAATTTTCCAGATTCCATGATAAGGTCGCCTTCAAGTATTCGAAGTACCTTCAGAAACAATATATCCAAACAAACATGAGAAACAAGCACAGAGAATAATGTGATGGATAGTGAAAGCACAACTGTAACACTTACTTGAGACATGCGAGGCCTGGCCTGAGGATCACGCCGTATGCACAAAGATGCAGCATGCAACATGCAGTATATTTCATGTTCAGAGTAGCAGTTCTCTAGCCGGGGATCTATTAGCTCGTCAACAGCACATTCTTGCAACAATGGACGCGCCTAATACAAATCAGTCACATTATTAGCTACACATGCAAGGTAAGGATGGCTCTCTCGTTCATTTTTTCCTCATGCCTGCATTTAAAGTGATAGCAAATTAAAGGTTAAAACCAAAAAAGATACCCATTCTGTGAGACACTGCTGGCCCTTAGGCCTAGTAAGATCCACTGCCTTGCGTCCGGTAACAAGCTCCACCAGTACCACTCCAAATGAGTAAACATCAGCTTTTTCTGTAATCTGGCCACTTTGAGCATACTCGGGCGCCAAATACCTGAATTTCACAAATTAGACTATTGATTCTCTGTACCATTACGTCAAAACACACCAAAACTACTTTCAAGGCCTACCCAAATGTTCCAATTACTCTAGTCTCAACGCCTGTGTCACCATCAGGTTGCCACCTAGCCAAACCAAAGTCTCCAACCTGGAAAAAGAAAAGTGAACAAGATAACTGGATATAGGGTGCTGCACCAACAGGTAGACATAATGCATTGTAGCATAAGTGAAGCAACTTATTCTGTGCTTGATTCCACAGATAAGAAAGATGATTCAATGCAGCCCTTAAGTAGTAATGTTTAAATTTAACATGTATTCATTGAACTTTCAACGGAGGAGAAAGAGTCTTCCATACTAGTGGTTCGAAGTCGTGGGTGATGAGAATGTTGTTGGGTCTCATATCTCTGTGGACAATGCAGCCCACTCTGCATTCTTCATGAAGATAACGCAAACCTCGTGCAGCACCCACAGCAATTTTTTGACGAGCAGACCACTCCAAAGGATCTCTTGTACGACCTGTGAAAATCAGAAAATGATTTTAAGAGAAAGATCTAAAAAGACATGTTACTATTCACACAAAGTAACTTCACCAACTAGATAGGGGTCTATTTACTGAAAGAAAAAAACAATCACATTCATGAGAGCTGTCAAGGACAGAGGAAGGGGGGACAGTATCACATACCATATAGATGAGAATCTAATGATCCGTTGCATATATATTCATATACTAGCAGTCTTCTGCTGTCCTCAATACAGAATCCTATCAGCATTACAACATTTCGGTGCTGTGCGCAGCTGAGAACTTCAACTTCTGAGCAAAATTCTTGATCCCCTTGAGAACTTGCCAATTTGTGTTGCTTCACAGCAACAACTTGACCATCTGGAAGAACTCCTCTATGAACAGATCCATATCCTCCCTCAGCCAAAAAATTTGCTTGCGAAAATCCTCCTGTTGCAAGCTCCAGCTCAGCATAAGTAAACCACCTGGGTGGTTTCCCAAATACAGGTGCCTTGTGTTGACAAATCGAGCACAAGGGAGGAGGGCCAAGAGGCGCACTTCTAGACAACGCAACTGCTTCTCTCACATTCCCACTGTAATCCAGATCAGCTCTATAACTTGGGGATCCAAAATCACTTTCTTCATCAAGCTTACTGAACTTCCGCAGCAATGTCTTATTCGTGGAATCTTGTGGCCTGTCATGAGTTCTCAATGAGCTCTTTCCTTTGATTTGTGAGAGTTCAGAATGTGAATTGATTATGTCCGCAATCCATGGTTGAAACCTTAAACTTGATGATGCGGATAAATTCTCACTCTCACTCTCTGAACTTGATTCATCTACATCTTCCTGAGCAGATGATAAATTTGCTTTCTTCAGATCCCTATTTACTTCAGAGACAAAAAATGGTGAAGTTCCAGGATCAGAGCTTGAAACTGATGAAGTACCAGCCTCAGTCGTACTGAACATCTCTGGACTACTTGATGGGGTTACTAGTGGACCTCGAGAAGAATCCAATGAATCCTTTTTGTTTGATTCTTTTCCACAAATTTGAGTTTGCTCTGAAGATAATGTGCCCGTGACATCAGGTTCCTTTTTAGGTGAGCCTACTAAATTTAATCGGAGAACTTTTGGTTGAGATCGCTTCATGACTACAATATTGCACTGCAACTCTTCCATGCAGCGTTTCTTCTCATGTTTGAGATGCCTGTAAAAACACAGAAAAATAGGAACCAAAGTTCAAGAAAGCTTGAAAATAAAAAATCAGTTTAACAAGACATCAGGCTTTGAAGAATTATCTAAATTACTTGTCCAAAACAACCCAATTCGCCTGAGACTTCTTCGCCTCAGCAGCCACAGCTCCATGCGGTGTACCAGAAACAATTTTAATCTTGACATTTATCTGGAGGAAAATAAGAGTACAAGAAGAACAAAATGTTATCGTCAATGTTTATAACAATGTGACAGCAGTGGAGATGAAAAGAATTTGAATGCTTGCCTTGTTGGGATCATAAACATCATGAAGCTGAAGGATCATCTGGGAGCAATAATCTGTTATGTCGGACTTGTGCTCCGAACTATTTCCAGAGTGCAACTTCCAGTGGCCACTTGCACAATCTCCGGCAAACCGAGGGAAACCCCATAGCTTCCTACCTAGAAATGATTGTGCAATTCTCAGAAAAATTAAGTTTCACTAGACCTCATTTTGTGAAAGCAGCACAAATAAAAGATCCCTTCAGAAAGCAATGTTGAGAAAATATGAAGACGGATCAGCCTCGATGAACGAATTAGGATTCAATAGCACAAAAAAGAAATTTGTAGCTGCAAGAGTAAGTCCTAAACTTTACGATCTCCAATACCAGAGCAGAGAAAACAACAAATAGGAATTTCTTACTGATAACAGATTATTGATCAAAGATGCAATTCACTATTACAGAAGTATGCAGCTCGAGAATTCTAGCTAACCTAAATGTTCAGTTTTAGGACATCATAAATGAAACAAGAAAATCCAAAGAAATTACCGGAACTTTGTGAAGGTACAACCACAAGTAGTGTAATGCAATCTCCAGGCTGAACAACATGAGTCAAAGACCATACAAGAGCTGTTTTTGGTATTTCCTTTGATGCCTTAACAGCCACCATAACTTTCTCCGCGGCATCAGAACTCATATCCTGTTTCCCTTTCTTCATCTCTCGACTCATCATCAGAACACAACAACGTCTTCCTTTCCTATTTGCCTTTTCAACTCAAATCAACATGCTAGACCATTTCTCTTTACTAGATTCTGAGAACCCACAAGTAAATCATGTCTGCTACAAACAAGAAGAAAACGATATCTGCATTATTGTACTGACTGACCCACAAAAAAAGATGTGATTCTCAAGCATATAAGCCTAAATGGCTGCTATTCTATCACAGTAACCACCTAATGACAACTGATAAGACCCCCTTTTAACCCTATAACTCTACTGAATTTCTCAAGAATCAACCTACTTTCCTTTTTCATTCTGTTCTTTTCCAAGAAAAACAATTGGAGAGAAAAATACAAGGAATGCTATAAAAAAAGTATGAACAGTATGGGGCACATGATTTCTGCAAACATAAAATGCATTTGACAGTGATATTTGTCCCACAAACACCACAGTCAAAAAGGGTTACCACATAAGGTGTTCTTTTTTAGTTTGCTTTCAGATCACAAGAGTCAAAAATTTGAGCTAAAAAGGCTTCAGGTGAGAGAGATAATGAATCGGCGACCCCATTATTTTCCTTTTATCTCCAAAACGGAATGTTGGAATCCAATTAAAACAGTGTAATTCAGAAACCCCATAATAAGATAAGAACAGTTTCACAATATGCAAAACCAAATGTTCAAAAAGCTAAAAGACGACGAACCAAATCGTTGAATTGACACAAGAGTTGAGTCTTCAGTGACCTGTAGCTGATTTATCGATACTAACAGTGACACCTCAAGCCCCTCCAAATCTCCACAACCAAAACCCAAAAAGCACTCAGATTATAGAACTAATCTCCCTCCTCCACCTGCAAAATTCCAATATCAACCCATAAAACAAGATATACAGTAACAAATCATTAACATAAAACTCGGGTTTTTTCCGGACAAAGTAATGATGTTAACTACACAATGTGATGGGTTATAGCTGTATGTAATCTATCACTATCTTCTTGTTTTTCCTCTGCTTTCAACATCAAAAACAGCTATAAAAAAAAACCAACATTCTTAAAAATTAAATTTTCAAGAAAATCATTACCTGAAAGAGATGAATCAAAAAAAAACTTGAAATGGGGTTTTTCAAAGTTGACCCACAGCTTACAACAACTCA